ATCTCGGAACTTCGTCGCCATTGCCACTTGTAAAGTGGTCCGGGCATTCGTTGGGCCGAATGTCATTACGACCCATTTGAAGTGGCCATACCGCGTCTTGAACGCAGTCTTATCCCGATCTTGTAGATGGATCTCGAGGTCCAATTTTGAGAAGTATGTGGCGCCGCGCAAGCGTTCTAGAAGATCGTCGATGCGCGGGAGCGGGCCTGCATTCTTAACGGTATGAGCGTTAAGCTTGCGGTAGTCAATGCACTAGCGCAAGTCCTTGTTCTTCGTCAGACGAAGAGAACGGGTGCACCGTAGGGCGAGCAGCTGAGGCGAATCCAGCCTTGTGCAATGAGGTTGTCGAGTTGTGTACGGAGCACCTCGAGTGCCTCCTCACTCATGCGGTGGATACAACCGCGCGGAGGTACGACCCTGTCCTCAAGGATGATCTCATGGCGAATAGGCTGATCCGCTACGATTGCGGCTGGGACTTTGAAGACGTCACCGAAGGAGTCAAGAAGCTCTACGATTTGTGGATCCGGTGGTACTTTTGTTGCTGGCTTGTCCGAAGGAGGGATGACATGCAAAAAGCAAAGGCCCATTTCTTCAACGTCATGCCGTGCGACAAAGTTGCGAATGCTCGTCGCGGAAACCACGTGACAACCAATCGAAGGGTGAGGTGGAGGAACTGTGCATGGGACTAGCATGCCGTTCCGATCACGAACGGGAATGGTAGGATGATGGAAGTTCACTGGGTGGTCTTTGCTTCGCAGCCACGACATGCCCAAGATCATGTCGAACTTAGTGTCCAAGATGTCGAAGGACACGACCTTGCGTGCATGCGGGCGAAGTACATGGGCACCGCGCCAATGCACCGGTCGATTGACTTGTGTGTGTGACCGTCGGTCAAAGTGACTGGCATGGGCTGCAACTTCCTTCGAACGCGCGGCCTGAAGTCGGCACGCACCATAACGTCTTGGCTAATGCAGTTGCAAGTAGATCCGCAATCGATCAAGGTGCTGCAGATCGCCTTCCCGATCTGAATGAGGATGTAAAGTAACAGCTCTTCGATGTCGTCGTACCGTTGGGTGGCGTACTCATGGTGAATCTTTGCAAGGTACTCGCAAAGGTCAACAACCGCTACTCCGTCTTCCGTCAACGGAGCTGGGGCTGCAGCGTGCAAGTACTTGCACAAATCTGGTTTCAGCAAGGAGCCGGATGGGGGGTGAGGAAACCATTGGAAGTCTTTTGTAGTCAACGTGTCGAGTTGGTCCTCAAGACTCGACCAAACCGATGAATCCCTCGAGGATAGTAGTGACCGCGAAGAAGTCGAAACGCTTGTCGATGGTGATAAAACCGCACATGCGCATGAGTCTTGCACGTGGAGGGGGAGGTCCAACGAAGGGACCAGCTGGACAGCGTAGTTGTCATACGGAGTACGCGAACTTGCAACATCCGCATGCTCCCCGGACGTGGAGGACGTTGCTAGCAAGGCAACCGTGTTTGGCGGAATGGGAAGTGGAGTCGCCTCACTTCCTGCGGAGCTCAGTTTCCCGAGCTTTGCCTGGGTCAAACGTCCTCCTTGCCCTTATTTGGACATTGGGTGGGGGTGTGTTTGGTGCCCTTGCACCAAAAACATCATCCCCACTTCTGTCGGAGCTTGAATTGCTCCCCGGTGAGGTTGAACTTTACCCAGGGCTTGTTCGGCTGTCCAACTCCCAACATTGAAGCGGGTGTCGCCTTTTTCTTTCGTGAGTTGGTGCTTTGCAGCGGGAGGGCATTGACTTGGTCTCCTTCACTTGACGCTGAAGTCGATGTCGGATCTTCACCTGGCCCATTCAATTGGACTGCAGCTACGGGCTGTGTCCGTTGGCCTTTTCCTCTCTCCACAAAGTTCGGTTGTCCTTGTCGTACATTGGCGGCATGCTGATTGGATTGGATAATGGCACGAGGGCGAGTGACGATCGCGTCGAATTCTTCATAATCTTCTTCTTGTCCAAACACTTGCGTCAGGGAGTCGACTGACCGTCAGAGAAACTTGTGTCGGATGTGTTCAAAAGGCAAGCTCAAGTTCGGAACGACAACTATCTTTTGTCATTCGGTCAGACTTGGCATGCATCGGTGGTGTTGAGGTAGAGTGCTGTGATCTTAAGGTAGTTGGGGACTTCGTGGAGTCCCAACTCCATGATAAACCCTTGTCAAATGAAAATCATAACAATGAGTGGTTGAACCAGAATCAATATCCAAAGTTCCTTCGTACTGCCAGCACAACAATAGGTCCACCGTAACCATGGCTTCCCCCTTCACCTTCCTCTCATATGCCAAGGCTATGGCGGACTACTAGGGGCTCTGCCCTCCTGTGCAGAAGACAACTCAAAGCAGCTATGGTTGCTGCTCTTCAGGCCGCCATGCCTGACTCTGCCTCGAAGCTTCCTTGGTGCGGCACTACCCCAACTGGGGCCTTCCAGATGCAGTGCCTAACAAGATGATGAAGTTGGTGTCCACCATAGTCAGGTAGGTACCTCGCCACTCTCCTCCTCCTCCCCGTTCTTCCTCCTCCTCAAGATGGGCTCCTTGCCATAGCCAGGCCGAGCGCCCAGCTCCTTGTCGTCCTCCCTGCCCACTCAAGCAGTATGTCGGCCAACCTTGCACACCGTAAATGAGGAGGAGCTATTCGCTCCTCCTGGAGATATAGTGGCCTACTTGCCTCTTGGGCGGTGACTTCCAGGCCGCATGGCCTCCAAGCAACTGGTACCTCCTCCCTTTTTGAGGGAAACATCATTGCGGGCTCTGATATCGTCCGTAAAGGTCCTAGACGCAGGCTACTTGGACTGGTACCTGCCTACCTCTAGCCTACCGCTACTGGGCCTCTAAAAATGCCAAGTTTTTGTCTTCTTCTGGTCCGCCTCGAGTACCCGACACATCTACTACTACTTGAATGGTACCGGCCTACCTGCTACATGATTGTTTTTCCTCGCTGTTCTAAGTTTCGTGGGTCTACCCCCGCTACTTAGTGTTTTTCCCCGCTGCAACCCTCATAGTCACGGCCACGGGTAAGTACCGGCCCTGCAAACGAACAAGTACCCTTTGCCGGTCACACACACACTCAGGCCGACAAGTGCCCAGACAGGCACACAGACCAGCAGGCACGCGCACACACAGACTTAGAATAATCAGCAGGATGAGGGAATCTCAGCAAGGCATACATTCCAGCCTCAAAACTCAGAAATCAGCAGTGTTCTCAGTCTGTGTTTTGGCGGGTCATTACAAAGCAATCAATCAATCAACCAACCAATCAATCAATCAATCAGTCAATCAGTCGATCAATCAATCAATCAATTCTTGAATTAACCAAGACAAGATGGTAAATTTATCTGAGCAGATCCTTGTCTGGGAGGTCTGCTCCGATACCAAACTGTCGCATGCCTAATCGGCATCGATCAGGACCAAGAACCGACATCTCAGAGACAACACAAAAATAGCACAGCGGATGACTGAAATACCAAGATCTGACTCTGCAAGGACGATGTCAGCACCCGACTGCACAGTGTGAGTGGCTCGGCACAGCAAACATAGGAGGTGCGCCGAGCCTGACCACATACATGGACGAAATTGGGGGAGAAGGGACGAAGGGTGGAGGAGATAGGGAGGATCAGCCACCATAGCCCGATGAACCCAGTCTCCAATGTATCCCAATGTCGCTGCTCATACAATGTCAAGTCGCAATGTCACTGGATCGGGCGAAGCCCGAAAATAACCAAGTCTCAATGTCAACTCTCGACTCTCTTATTCGGCAGAAGAAGAAGAAGAAGAAGCTCCGGAGGGAAAGGAGAAGAGCGCAGGAGAACGGACAGTGGGAAAGAAGAAGCAGCAATCCCTACTCTCTCTCTCTCTCTCTCTCTCTCTCTCTCTCTCTCTCTCTCTCTCTCTCTCTCTCTCTCTCTCTCTGCATGTATGCCAGGTACTAACCTGCAGAAAGGTGTTGCGGACATACGGAAGATGAAGATGGAGCTATGGCGCCACAGGTAAGTCGCAGGTAAGACCCCTGGCTTCTGCCTCAACTCTCCCTCCTACTGCAGCTCGACTGCAGTGCTCTCTTGCTCCCTCTCCTAACGGCGCCCAGTGCGTTGACTAACGCAGAGCTACCTCAAAAACTACCCGAGTACTACCTCCCTAACCTGGACTGGGTCTGACGAAGATGGAGCTATGGTGCCACGGGTAAGTCGCAGGTAAGACCCCTGGCCTCTGCCTCAACTCTCCCTCCTACTGCAGCTCGACTGCAGTGCTCACTCGCTCCCTCTCCAAACGGCGCCCAGTGCGTTGACTAACGCAGAGCTACCTCAAAACTACCCGAGTACTACCTCCCTAACCTGGACTGGGTCTGGCACCTACCGAAACGGCGCCCAGGGCCTAAAACGGCCACGGTAGTAGACCCTGAAATGATGCTGGACCTAATCCTAACAGACCTCGGACCTGGCCCTTCCCCTACCCCTACTGGTTGGGCCCTCCAGGGGCCTGTTTGGTACTGTTAATGCCACCGTTGGTATGCCCATGAATTGTTGAAACGCAGCCTTTAGTTCAAGTCAGGATGAAGTAGATGGTGTCTTAAACCACCAGTACATCCGAGCCTCATTTGTACGAGGTGGATTCCCCTTGCGCCCCACGATTGGCCAAAATGCCAGTACAGCGTTTTTGCTTGTTTTTGTTTTTGGCTGGCCGCTGTCATGCGAAGGAAAGCGAACGGAGTAGAGAACCGTGGTGAATTCTGGTTGTGTCTGTCGATCACAAAGCTGTTCATTTTCCATGAATTTTTGTGTAGGCTGGTGTGTTAGTATTATTTGCATGCGAATTCCGCTGTGATTTGCGTATTCATGGGGACTGTTTGCAGCCATTTCGTGTTCTATATACGGCATTCTCAGTTGCGTCGTGCAGGGCCTTCGCTATGGAAGTTCATGGCATTGGGGTAACTAAACCACCCGCGTTATTTCCTGGATCATATGTGGCTGAATGTGTAGGTGGGCTGTATTTGACGGAGATTGCGCGCATCCTTCGGCCTGGAGGATTCTGGGTCCTTTCTGGGCCTCCTGTGAATTACCAACGAAGGTGGAGAGGGTGGGAAACCACGGAGGAAGAACAACGACAGGATCTTGAGAAGCTAATGGTTACGATGAAGAGTATGTGTTTTACTCTGTACAAACTGGAGGGGGACTTTGCGATCTGGCAGAAGCCAACAACTAATGAATGCCATAAGCAGAAGAAACAGGACGGTTCTCAGCCAGCCATCTGCGATACAGACGCGTACCCTGCTGATGATGCGTGGTATGTTCCCCTCCACACGTATGTACTCGTGTGCAGCGAGTGAGGGATACCTTGGTTGGGTGTGTTATTGGTCGTCGGTGGGGTCCACAAAATCTAAGCGGGAGCAAACGTACGGGAAATCAGCTGGTCTAATTTTAGTTGGGAAAGTAAGAGTAAGAGTCCTTACGGTTGCAATTGCAATTCGGTACTGCTTGCAGGGTCACATCTAAGATTGTTTTTGTTTGTCTTTGGACTGGCTGGATTGCTGGTTTCTGTCATATGTGCACCTTTGTTCGCTGCCATCACGGCCCCTCTCACCTCATGGCTACCATTAACCTGCCCCCACTTGCAGCGGGACTTCCTGGCTGTCAGTCATGGAGGCATTTTACATGGGTAGGATGTCATGCGATGAGTACAAACTTACAAAGGCTTTTGTGACTTGTTTGGGTATCTGTACGTATCGGTGCCGAGATGGCATTTTCGAACGTGGTATCTGTATCTCTTGCTGCCTTCAACCACGGTCTGCCGCTGCCTTATGGCTTGACTTTGTGAACATGGCACATCGACATGGGCCGACACAGAGGGCTCTCTACGTTTTTTCAGACCATTTGTTAGTGGAGCCTTTTGTGTTGCTGTGTAACTAATTTTTGTATTGGGGTCTATACACTCTGGGGGCCAGACAGCAAAGTGAAAGGGAGGTTGTCTAGCCATGGAGTGATGGAGATGAGGGTGACATGAGTGAGTCATTTGAGATGAATAGTGTTAGTGCCAGTGCTTTGCCTTATGCCCTTGACCGCTACAGAGTATAATATATTTATTCACGTATGTCTCTCCGGCGGCAGACGGGTGTGTGGGCACTAGCCTCTCAACCACACAAACGTGGGCAACCTTGCATCTTCTCATATGTTGCCAATCTCTATACCTTTTTTTGTTTTAGCTATGGTTTGTGGTTGGAATGAGGAGAGAATTAGGGGATTTTTGCAAAATACACAKACACGAACAAGAAGACACACACACAAAGAGAGAGAGAGAGAGAGAGAGAGAGAGAGAGAGAGAGAGAGAGAGAGAGAGAGAGAGAGAGAGAGAGAGAGAGAGAGAGGTGGGGCGAGATAGAAGGGGTGTCGTGATCAAGGACGTGGGAGGGGGAGAAGGCGTGATGAAGAAAAAGAGGAGGAAGAAAAGGGAGGAGGAAAGGAACTAAAAGCAGCACCAGAAAAGGATGATGATGAAGACGGAGAAGAAGAAGAGAAGATGAAGGAAAGAGGAGTGGAGGATTGAGGATGGGGACTGTGTATGAGCTTTGGGAGATGTTGCCCCCAACAGGGAATGGATTGTGCCAGTAGTGGAGAAGATCAGTAGGTTTAGGGTTAGGAATAGGTTTGGGTGAGGATGGTACATGACCTTATGGTAAGCTTGCAGAAAGACCAGCGAGAGAAGATAAGTGTTATTGTTGTTGCATTGATCGTTGGGTGGCAGGAAGAGGGCTTTGCATGTTCAAAGGACTGCAATATTTTCAATTCCTGTGCCGGCGTGGTAATGGCTTCGTTGTCTCTGCTGATTGCTTGGCTGCCATATGCATGCTGGTCACGAGAGTTCGTTGTTATGTTTATAGCGTGACTTTTTCAGTGCAGTTTCGTCGCACCCACTTTCTTCAACCGAGTAAAACGCCTGGCCCTTATTGCTGCCTGGGGGCAACTTCGAGTTTAGTTGTCGCCGATAATGACTGGGCGTTGTGTTCGGGTGAAGGCAGTAGCTTCTAATTCTTCCTGGTGCTTTGCTGTGATGCGAGTCCAGTTTTTTCTATTCCCAGGTTGGTGGGCTTTCAAGTTTTGATTAATTCTTTCCTTTTTTATTGTGCTTGCTGCTGCTTTACTTTTGTCCAAACAGGTATGTGCCAATGGAGCCTTGTGTAACGCCATTCCCGGATAATTTCGTAAGCACACCACAGCGACAATGGCGTGAAAGGGTAAACGCTATACCACCGCGGATTCTGGAGTCGAAGGATGAAAGTGCTGCGGTGTTTCAACACGACGTGAAGAAGTGGCAAGAAAGAGTGGAGTTCTACAAGGTTTGTTGTCCTCTTTGCTTGTACAGCCTGATACTTCACACGTCCTCTCCCTTCACCCGCTTCCCTGTGAAAGGACGCCTTTGAACTCCAAACTGGTACGCATTTAGGGCCAGCTAACACTGGTGGCATTCCCAAAATTTTGAAAAGATTGTGAGAGCATTGTTGAGCAGTCAAAGATACTCAGGGCGTACTCGCACCAGGACCAATTTCTCACAAAATCTGTGGGTTTTGTGTCCGTGGAGAAGACGTTCACTGTATTGCTGTCACACTGGTGGTGCATCTAGGAAAGAAAGTCGTGACGTAATCGCATTTGGAGACTTTGCAGATGATGCAGTTGCCCAAAGTCACTCTTTTCACTTCGACAATATCCTCCCGTGTTCGTCTGGTAGTCAAGAAAGCAGAAGAAGCTTTTTTGGGCACAAGGTGCCTGCAGAATGTGTCCTCGCACAGCTTGGCAGGCTGCTGACATTTGTCAGGGAGTGCTACTTTTGAAACGGTTTTCACCTTTTAGCAGTAGCGGATGCAGTACCCAGGGTTCGATCCCTAGACCTCACCCTACCCATGTACAGTATCTGTGTAGACCCCGAGAATTGAACCTGTGACCTGTGTATTCGTAGGMAGTTGGTAGGCCTGTCGTAGGTCCATAGGCAGCAGGGGTTCGATCTGTAGGTCTATAGCGTAGGAGTCTTAGTGAGTTCTGGGAGCTTAGCTGTAGACCTTCTAGAAGATAGGCAAGTGGGCAAGTGGTCAAGTGGCGAGGCAAGTGGTGGACTAAACCGCAGTGCAACAGCAGTACAACGTCGGTAGGATGGCGTTGAGTCCACAGTCAGTCAGCGGAAGGTCCAGTCAGTCCCAGTCCGGTCCAGCAAGTACCACAGGGGGACTGTGAGCACCAAGGGCCGAWRGYAAAGGGCAGACCAACGAATTTCTGAAGTATAAATCAAGAGGCAGCGCCCAGCCATTCATTCATTCCTGCGTGAGCCATGCGGAAGCGCTGCCACAGCGACTTGTGCAAGGAGGTCTGCAGATGAGCCCGGAGGACGCAGTGGGGTAGAAGAGGGAGTTAGCATAGCGATAGGTTAGATGCAGCGACAGCTGCCATAGCTGTAGTTAGTAGTGAGTGTGTGCGTGTGTTCGAGTGTTAGAGTGATGCGTGTGGGATATCCAGGGTGATCCAGTGTATGTGAACAGTGAGATGTTTGGGCGCTGAAGTCGCCATAGCTAATTGAGAGTGAACTCGTATCTGAAAGCCATATCTCTGAGTTTTGAGTGGGCGCATGTCGCCAGTATGCTGCGTTGCTGTTTACATGCATGAAAAGTGTGTTTGAGAACGAGTCTGATTGCACTTTTGCTGGCCTGGCATCCACGTGTGACTGGCTTCGCTGCACTAGTCGCACATTCCGACGTGAAAAGGTTGTAGAGGGAGTACGCCCTCGCAGTTGTGAATTTCAGAGTCTGAAAACAGCTGGACGAGTGGGTAAATGTTCCCGGGCGCACTGACATGTGCTAGAAGAGGTGGAGAGGTGGAGAGGGGAATTGAGTAGGGGAGGAGGAGACTTTGGGGGAAAATGGTGGTTATGATGTGGGGGAGAACATTGAAACAGCTGAACGTAAAAGAAGTTATTTTGAATAATAAAATACATGCCATCCAGAAGCCTTTATACTTGAACCATGAGTACCCTGCCCTGGCAAATTTTTGCCACTCCCTGAACTTAAGGAGGGACCTGGGCAGGCCCGGGGGGGGCCACACGTCCAGAGTGGTGGTGGTCATTGGGATGGAGGGTGACGGCATCACTGACCACCCACCACAAAACAGAAAGCAAAAAGGCAAAATAAAAGACCGAGCAGTTGTGAAAATGGGACCAAAAATGGAAAACCGCAGCGTGTACAGAGGTCGCCCGTCTACACGGTTGATTTCGGCAACTTGGGGCATACTCTCACTAGGCCCCTACAAATGCAGAATTGCAAAATCAGCAGCCAGATCGAGTCCTTGTGATATTAGAATGAATCTTGTGCTAGAACATCGAACCACCAATCCCTTTCCCATATATCGGATGCGGGCCTCTCACCGCGATTTTCAGAGGCTCGAAACGCAAAACGAGCCACCGATGAAATTTATCAATGGTGGCCTGGCCTCGAAAGCTGTGGCGGTTAACAAGCCGCGTATTTGGTTTCCGATCTGGGAAAGGTGCAGATGGTTTAAGAGATCCACTGCCATATTTTTTGTGTTTTGACTCTTGAGCATATTGTGAGTGTTGGGGCAAGGCCCTAACTCAAGCCATACTAAAACTAGCACTTCCCTAAATGTATCTGACAGCAATTATGGCCCCACCGGGACACAGTGGACTGCAGTTGTGGATTCGCTTGTCGGTAAACCACTGTGATCTTTTTTCCCTTTTTCCTTTCTGGAAGTAAGAACAAAAAGAAGGGAAAAAAAGAAACAACCAGCGTGGAAGTACTGGTCGCGCGCTGTAGCTCGTCAATGGCGAGTTGGACTGACAACCTTTCCACATAGGCTTGGTTACGAGATCTGAAAAAGGTTCAGGAAGGATGAAGCGAAGGTGCTGGTGGTTTAAGAGCACTCTCAGGTATGAGCCTTTCACCAGCGAGAAGAATTTTCTACGGCATGATGTTTCCTTCTGACCCCCCAAAGGAGGCCTCTTTTTGCCTTTTTTTCTGCGTACGGATCCGGGCCGCCCGACCGACTGGCGCCTGCCCGGGGGAGGTCCCGGGCGGCCTGGCCGGACGGGCGGCCCGGTTGGGGGCCGGGCCCCCCCAGGACACCTTGTTGGCGGTGGGTTTCCGACCCCGAATCGGCGAGATTTCGCCTCCCCAGGGCCTACCGGGTCCGACCACGCCGAGAAAACAGCGCGTCGGGCCCGTGAGGCCTGTTTTTTTTTTTTTGAATTTGGGACGACCCTCTGGCCGTCGATCATCCATGATCCACGGCCAGAGGGCCGTTCGTTTTTGGAGGGAAAACGGAGGCCCCGTTTGAACAAGCGAGTGGCTGGGGTGGCCTGCATTGGCTGCCCAAACGGGGCCTCGATACCTGCTCCAGCCGCCTGCGTTCGTCGTCGAGTCGCCCGTCGTCGAAGTAGCTGCCCCTCATCGCCATCGCCTGGGAGCTTCACTCGCCCGTCGTCGTCGAGTCGCCCGTCGCCCGTCGCCAGTGTCGTCGATCGCGGTGCTCCTGTCTGCCGGCAACCCCTGCTACCCGTCGACGTGGAGTGCCCGTCTGTTCTTCTTCTTCTTCTTCCTCTTCTTCTTCTTCTTCTTCTTCTTCCCTCCTCCTCCTCCGCTCATTCTTCTCTTCTGCTTCTTCTTTTTCTTCTTCTTCTTCTTCTTCGTCTTCTGCTTTTCTTCTTCCACGACTTCTTCACTCCTCCTCCTCCTCCCCCTCTCATCTTATTCTTCTTCTTCTTCATCATCTCTCGTCGTCGTCCTCCCCCTCATCCTCTTCTTCTTATTCTTCTCTCCTCCTATTCCGACTATCTTCTTTTTATTCTTTTTTTTTACATTCGTTAGCGATAGGTCGCGAAATAAACGACAGGTAAGGAAAAAAAAAAAAAAACCTGATCCACTCGTCATCTTCTTCTTCTTCTTCGCCGATCATTCTTCCGCCTCTCGTCTCCTCCTCCTCCCCCTCTCTTCTTCTTCTTCTTCTTCTTCTCCTTCTTCTTCTTCTTCTTCTTCTTCTTCTTCTTCTTCTTCTTCTTCTTCTTCTTGTTGTAGGACCGTCGCCATACCCCGTCGCCATACCCCGC